ATTTTATATCACATAAGATTTTATTTTAATATATATTTATATATTATTCATATAATATATAATATATAATATATAATATATAAAATATATATAAAAATATATATTATTATTTTTAAAAATATATAACATATATATAANATATCTTATTATCAATCTTATTTAATATCTCAAATTAATTTTTTAAATATAATTAATTTACTTAAATTATTTAAATAAATAAATAAAATATTTAATAAAAATGAGTAACTTTCATAAAATAAAAAAAATAAATTGTTACATGATAATTTTAGTATTATATATTCTTTATTAATAGAAAACTAAGAAATTAACATAATTTACAAAATTTTATTATTTAAATCAATATTGACGTAATGCACCACGTCTAATTGCTGGTTGTCGATTTGGTGGTGTTATTGATATATCTAAATAATCACCAATTGTAAATCTATAATTAAAATGTTAAAAATTAAAATTTTTAATCTCAAAACTAATTAGTCTTGAACTAATTTTAATTAAAAAAAAATACTTTATATACCTTGCTTGGGCAAGTGTTTTATTATCATCTGCACCTTTTTGTCCTGAGCAAGTCACACCAATTTCTCGCATACGATATCCAGAATTTCGTAATTCTGGTGTTACTAATGAAAAATCAAAATATGTTCCTTTACTTCTAGCATCTGGATTTACTTCTTTAACTAATCCTGTAATTTCTCTTAAAGTTGCATCCATCCTATATGTTGAATAAACATTACTTGAAAGTTTTCAAATGTTTGTTTTATTTCTGTATAAATTATAAAATAAGAATAAATATATAATTATAAATATTAAAATGTAAAACATTTTACCATGTATATATTTGTAATTCATTTGAAGGAACATTTCCTCTACTGTATTCCATTATATTATGATGTCTGCCTGTATTGCAAAATACTCTCAATAAAAGTGGACATGTCTAAAAATTTATTAGAAAAAAATATATAAGAATATGCAAATATATTAATAACAAAAATTAAGTAATTAATCTTTTTAAAATCTAAAAGTATTAATTCTTTATCGATATTTCTAAAAAATTTTTAATGTTTTTTCTTACTTTTTCTCTATCTATCGGTTTTTCTGGTAATTGCTTTTCATCTACAACCATAGATTCTATTGCTGATGTCATATTTATTATAAAAATTATTTTATTAGAACACAAATAATAGCAATTACAATTATATATACTCTTAAATAAACTTTTAAATAATCTTTGAAATTTTATATCACATTTGTATATGCTTCATATACAATTGCTTACAATGCCCTCTACTGAAAAAATGAATTACGTATATAAAACGTATTAATCATAGATTAAATATCATATTTAGATATAAGAATTTAATACAATTCTTAAAAATCAATTCTACAAATCAATTTAATCATTAAACAAATATCTTATAATATATATTTTTTATGTATATATTTTATTTAAATAATATTTATTTATGTATATAATATATGATACAATATTATAATATTTAATAATAACATTGTATAAAATTACAATTTTACTAATTCAACTTTAGTTTGATATATTCAAAATTTAGAATTTTTAAATAATTAGAATTTTTTAATAACTTAGAATTAATTTTTGGAATTTAATTTTTGGAATTTATTCAGTTTAAAAATTATATTTAATATTTAAATTGAAATATAATTTCATGTTTAATATTTGGAGACCATAAATTAAATTATAATTATGTTTTATGCTATATGCAATGAACATGGATTCTAATGTGCTTCTAGATGTTGCTTGAATTTTGATTTTCTGGAGTTTTTGGGATTGATTCAATTGTCTTACATTAGAGAAGTGAGATATACGAATTGATTGATTTCATCTACTATAAATTAACAAAGAAATTGGACGAATCTATTTTATTAGTAAAAATTGACTAACGAAAAATCACTCCCAATTATAATCCCCTAATTATCGGAAATTATAATTACTTTTAATAACAATTATATCCTTGAATGATTGTGAAAAATTTGCGTGTATTTTCTAAAAATCATAATAATAAGTATAAGATTTTTTTTAATTTTTTCATGTATTGACATTTATTTTCATACATCTAATATTATTAATACTTATTTGAAATTTTTCTTGATAATTTAATTAATTAATTAATTTAAATTTATAATTTTTTTATAAATCAAATATTTATTTATTATTAATTCATTAAATTTTTTAAAATTTTATTTAAACATAAAAATAAAATAAATAAACATAAATAAAAAATAAATAATAAAAAAATAACTATAACACAAACAATACAAAATATAAACAAATTTATATAAAAAATAATTATTTTATTATCATCATTTATTATTATATTATTATTATTATAATTTATTATTATAATTATTAATATATTATAATTTATATATTACATTATTATATTTTTTTTTACATTTTTAATATGTACATTTTGTATTACATTTAGTATTTAAATT